TTCTGTGCCTGATTGAGTTACGAGTGTTGGTGATGCTGTGTGGATGGCCATAATGCTTAGAGAGTGAATTTAGCTGCTGCACTCTTGAATAGCATAGCATATATGCCGTCGTGAGTCGACTTGGACTGTGACTACACTCGCGACTCCTTTCTACAAATTAGTCAAGAGCATGCACGCACCATGCACACTGACTTACCATGACTCAGCTCAAGCCGCTCCATCCAAGTTCCTCTTCTGCGCGAGATAAGGCAAAGAGACGCAGCTTTGCGCCTTGTGACGCACGCTTGCCTACAAGGTTCACCCGCAGTTCACCCGCTCCAGCTTCCTGCCATCCATCCGTGCGTGCATCATCACACTCTCTTGACTCGGCACTTGCATCAAATCGGGTCACGTGACAAAAGCAAGACTGTCCAAGCCTAGAGCCCACTCTAACTCGACTCGAGACTCGAGACGCTGACCTTTGTAGATTCGTCGTCGAGATTGGGCTTGATGAATCGTTTGCCTTTTCTACAACATGAATTCACTTTCCTGCTCCATGCTCGTGCCACGAGCCTTCAATGCAACCCGTTCCGCTACAAGAAGCAGCGCGAGCAACCCCGTGGTTGAGCAGCCCGCTTTCGTTGCGACGTGACTTTGGCTTGGCTCGAAGCCTTTACCCTGACTGCGATGTGCGAGGCTCCGTCAACTGGATACGTTCCCGAGCATGAACAAACAAATGTTCAGTGCCAGAGTGACGCAAGGGCGGGACGAGCTTGCGGGCAGCTTCCATTCTTCCCAAGGGGCCCAACTGTAAGCTTCGGAAGCCCCAAGGAGTCTAATCGACATTCATCTCAACTTCTTCCCCGTCTTGCACCCCCTCCTGCTCCGCATCCTCCGCTTCCATTTCCCTAAGCTCCTCATCGCTGATCCGCATTTTCCAATCGTACTTTTCTCCATTCTCATCAGGTTGTTGTTTGAGGTGCCAATAAGCTCTTAAGCAAGCAATGGACGCATCGTCATGCTTTCTCTGTTGAGATCTGGCAATCCTTAGACGTCTCTTTGCTTCTTTCCTCGTCTGTTCCTCCGCAGCCGTAGCGCTCGCAAATGTTGCATTGGGCTGCGCTGGTGCTGATGCTGCAGGTTCTTGTGAGACGGGATGCTGGACACACCATTCCTGCCATCCCTTCTCCCACGCATTCTCCAGTCCAAAGTCTACCCTCGCGCGAAGAAGTTCGGTCAGTCTAGCTTTTTGTTCCGCATCCAAAACGCCCGAGGGATGAACCGCGATTCTTTCCAATAGGTTGCCCCTTTCTCGTCTAGCCTCGTTGGAATAATCCACCCTCGGGGTTCCTTCGGCCGTCGCATGTCTCTGCTGCCCTTTTGACAGAGACCCGCCCACAGGCAGACCCAAAGCATCCACACCCGAGCCAGTGATGGCTTGCGAGCCTCCGTCAGAGACATTCCCAGCATACAGATTTTTCGAGTCCGCCTCTGCTGCGAGGAAGGTGTTGAGGAATGCCATTTGCGCATCATGCGTCGGTGTCGGTGACGATACTAGTGAGGTGAGGGTGTGAGTTGCCGAAATGAGCTCCATGTGCTGAGTCAAGAGCTTTGACCTGGTGCAAAAGGTAGAAGGCATTTGAGCATGGGAGCCGCAATCGAGCCAGGAAGTTTGCAGACTGCCAACTTGCGCTCCACGCAAGGCTAAGGGTGCATGTACAGCTCGACTCACCAATCATCCGGAGCGTAAGAGTTGTGAATCTGATTCTGAAGCTCCAACAGCGACCTGATGACGCTTCCCATCGTCTTGGAGAGCTGTGCCAGCTGATCGTACGGAATGTCATCCACGATCGCACCTGCTGTCATCGACGTGGGTACAGCAGCCTGACCTGTCGGTGATACTTGTGAAACAGCTGCCGCGCCGCTTCTGGCCCCTGCAAAGGGCAACGATGACATTGTGAACAAATCTTCGTGCTGAATACTCGAGTCTGATTCGATGGGTGATAGAAATTTCTGCCTGGCAAACCACGTCGATTGACGGAAAGCCGACGCTTAAATGGACGTCGCCCTTTGGTCTAGCTATC